TAATTGGGTTTTGTTTAGTTGAATTTTGCCAAGTGCCATTCACCTTGTCTCTAGTCCTCGCTCGATTAGTCGACGACTGTAGATTCAGAGCCCCCAATAGTTGGTGTGTTGATTTTCCGTGTCGATTAGATCTACCACTTCAATCGCAACTATTTCTTTGTGCTTCATCACCTATTCGCAATATTTAGATTGCATCTTATCTTGTTCTTGCAGTGTTCTCTCGTTTGCATTGCAGGGATCATCAACCGCGCGTCACGGTTGGTACGACATCGTTTGTGGTGTAGCGATTGCACGACGTCCTGGACTTGTTCTGGTTGGTAGCCACGTCGCAAACGTCGCAAACGTCACACTCGATTAAAGCGAGAGTTATCCCCTCACCAGAAGATTGGGCCACGAGAGAGAGCGTCATCAGTTGGTATCAGAGCATCGGTTGCCTGGTGAGGATTTTAGTTTGCAATTTTATTTCATTTACCCATTGTCTACCATATAGCCACACCATTTTTTTTCCATCACCAAACATTAGTTTTGAGCCACGCAATTTCATTCAGTTTTGCTTTATTGAGTTTCTGTCCACTGTCGAGTCGGAGTGCTGGCTTTAGTCCTAGTTTCATCCTGGTTTGAGTTTGCATCTCGGTTGTGCTAGGTTGAAGGAAAAAAAAATAGCAGATCGATCCATTCATGATTTGGTTTGTTGCTTGCGCAAGGAATTATAGAGATCTGTTTCCTCTAAATTTTGAGTCGGTTTCCATTTAGTTGGGGAATATCTGTATTGTTTTCCTCCTGTTGTGCGCAACACAGAAACTGAGTGGGTCCCGTGTTATCTCGTGCATGCAAATGCAAGTCCGGTTTTCTTGCATTTCAGTTTCTTTGTTTCGGTAGTTAATCTCCCTAATTACCTTGGTGTGTTTCCTTTTGTTTAGCCATGCATGCAAGTTCCATACATGCACGTGAACTCCTCTTACAGTAATAGCTAGCAGCTGCTTGTATTTGTGCATGCGCGCACGCACTTGCCACTTGTTAAAGAAAAAAAAAAGGAAAAAAAGAAAAAGGTATCAGAGGTGCAAAAAAAAAGAAGAAAAAAAAGAGCCGCACCAAAAAAATCAGAAAAGGGAAAAAATTAAAAAAATAAAAGAGAAGAAAAAAAATCAGAAAAAGAAAGTGTGATATTTTTTTTGTTGGAATCTTGGAGAGAGAGTTGCTTGTTATAGCTAGTTGTGTTTTGTCCGAGTATGATCATTTGCTTGGTTAAGCTAGGATTGAGTCTAGGCTAGACCAGTAATTTTGACTAGTACTTTGGACTATTATTCAATTTTCGTATTTCTGTTTGATTTTTGCTATTCCTTGTGATATAGTAAAGCCTACCAAGATCCACATACTACTAACCTTTACAGGTCCGGTTTTGCAATCGCTCCACTCATCAAGCGTGTCATTGTGCCACGAAACAGCCATGGTGATTGACCTGTTTTGCATTCTTTGAGAATATTATAAGAATTTGGTATATGCTTTAGTGTTGAGTGCCTTCAAAAGCTCCACATATCTATATATTGTTAGGAACTGACACTTTCTTGTGAGTTTCTTTTGCTTGCTAACGATGTCAGGTACAAGTTCCGACGAACCAACACTGGAGAATCTAGCGCATAAACTGAAGGGCATGGAAAATTGGTATGAAGAGTTGATGCGTAATAGTAAATCATACAATGAAAGCACAGATAAACATTTAAAAACCTTAAGTGAAAGCCTGGTGAAAGTAGTGGATCAAATTGAGCAAATGAATCAATCACATAAACAATTAACTGAAAATATTCAGAATATGAATATTGGACATGAAAATATTGTGCGACACATTGGTTTACTTGAGGCTGCAGGTGAAGAAGGTGCAGGTGCCACTGCTCATCGACACCAAAGATATGACGATGAAGACGAAGAGCAATCTGTTGCTGACGATGAGGAGGAAGACGAGAGTGTTGGAAATAGAAGACGACGTCGAGTTAGGGATAAAGATGATCCTTTATCTAAGGTAAAATTTACTAAGCCTTCTTTTGATGGTAAGTTTGAGCCTTCTGTTTATCTAGACTGGGAGCTAGCTGTTGAGCAAAAATTCTCTTGCTATGATTTTCCTGATAATAAGAAAGTTAAAGCTGCCAGTAGTGAATTTACCTCCTTTACATCTCTATGGTGGAATGATATATGTGGTAGAGGACTTAGACCTAGAACATGGGATGATATAAAACGTACAATGAGGTCTAGATTTGTTCCTTCTTACTATGCTCGTGACATGTTAAATAAACTGCATCTTTTAAGACAAGGTTCCAATTCTGTAGAAACATACTATCAAGAGATGATGATTGCTTTGTCACGATGTGATTTGCAAGAAACTGAGGATGCTAGAATTTCTAGGTTCTATGGAGGTCTTAATAGAGAGATTCGGGATATTCTTGAATATAAAGAATACAATACCATGAATAGATTATTCCATTTTGCTTGCAAAGCTGAAAGAGAAGTGCAGAGACGCAACAAGCATAGGAGTTCTTTTGCAGGTGCTACTTTCACACGACAGTCAACACCACGTCAATCTACTACTGCCGTTCGTCCACCTACCTCCACGCCACCTACCTCCACGCCATCCCATGCTCAAGAACCAAGCAAAAACGCTTCAGTTCAGACTCCAACCAAGAGTGCAACTTCGGTAGCTTCCACTGGACGTACCCGTGATATTACATGTCATAGGTGCCATGGCATTGGACACATTGCCCGCAACTGTCCAAATCAGCGAGCTCTATTTGTGAATGATGATGGTGAGTATACTTCTGCTAGTGATTGTGATGATGAATATGCTTTAGCTGCCACTGACCATGCAGGAGGACAAGATAACGATGACATCGAGGAAGTCCATTTGCATCCAGAGTCGCTAGATCAGTATCCTAGCCTAATTGTCAAGCTAGCACTTAGTGCTAAAGAGAAGTGTGAAGAGCAAAACCAACGCCACAATTTGTTCCAAAGCAAAGTTCTTGTGAAAGGCCATACCATCAAAATGATTATTGATAGCGGGAGTTGCAACAATTTAGCAAGTAAAGAGATGGTCAAGAATCTTGGCTTGACTACCTATCCACATCCACATCCGTATTATATTCAGTGGTTTAATACATGTGGTAAGATGAAGGTAACCCGCTTGGTTAAAATACCTTTTTCTATAGGCTCCTACCATGATCAAATTGAATGTGATGTTGTGCATATGCAAGCTTGTTCTGTTATTTTGGGGCGACTATGGCAATATGATAGAGAAGTTGTTTTTGATGGTAGGACTAATACATATAAATTTATGTTCGATGGTAAAAGAGTTGTTTTGCATTCTATGACTCCAGCCGCTGCTTTGAAAGATGATCTTGCAAGACTTGAATGTGAAAAGAAAGTGAAAAGTGATAATCAGATTATTGCTAAACATCTTGCTTCAACTAGTAAAATAGAACCAAGTACCACAAAGAATGAAATTAAGTTGAAGGGTGCTTCGTTGGCTTCTAAATATAATATTTGTGCACTAGATGAGCCAGATTCTTGTTGCTATGCTCTATTTTGCAAAGATCCTATACTCACATTCGCTACTGCTCCTAGTACTTTATATTCTTTGCCACCCACTGTTACTCAGGAATATGAGAATGTTTTTCAAGATGAGATACCTCCAAGGATGGCCACTAGACGAGAGAGTGCACACAATCAAAAAGATGGGATTGAGTCGAGGACGACTCCAATTCAAGAAGGGGAGGATGATGAGGACATCACTTCGTCGGATACGCTCATAACTTCACACGTTCCAATGATAATTCCAAGTCCAAGTCCAGCTCGGCCTCCGGAGACAGTACTGACTTCAAATGGACCTAGAGTCTTCATGCCAACTCCGATTTGGGTGATCTTGGACTTCGTGGAAAGCTTATCTCGCTACCTTTCAAACACATCCAGTCTCATGTCCAAATTCATCTCGAGTCAACGGGAATCGCCAAAATAAGACAATGCTATTGCTGAAACCGAACTTGGGCCTTGGGCCTTGTAATAGACTAGCCCCATCTCGGAAGTGTCTCCCTCCACCTCCACGAATTAGCACTTAACCCTAGCTTTATTTTCCTCTACAAATAGCTTTGTACATCCTCAAAAATAATTGGGTTTTGTTTAGTTGAATTTTGCCAAGTGCCATTCACCTTGTCTCTAGTCCTCGCTCGATTAGTCGACGACTATAGATTTAGAGCCCCCAATAGTTGGTGTATTGATTTGCCGTGTCGATTAGATCTACCACTTCAATCGTAACTATTTCTTTGTGCTTCATCACCTATTCGCAATATTAAATTGAATCTTATCTTATTCTTGCAGTGTTCTCTCGTTTGCATTGCAGGGATCATCTACCGCGCGTCACGGTTGGTACGATATCGTTTGTGGTGTAGCGATTGCATGGCGTCCTGGACTAGTTCTGGTTGGTAGCCACGTCACAAACGTCACACTCGATTAAAGCGAGAATTATCCCCTCACTAGAAGATCGGGCCACGAGAGAGAGCGTCATCACTCGTTCCCCGTCGTGGGCCACGCCGCTGTCCTCCTCCACATGGCGGGCCACACGCTAAAAATCTATCTTCAAAAGTGCATATTGAACGCAACTTAAGATAACAAAGCTAACCCAACAATCAAGAGAACATGTATAGTTAGGCACTGTTCACTTCTAAATAAGATGTAGGTTTTATCTTAGTTTGCATTATCACGCTATTTAAACGGTTAAACAATACATTTCGTACGAAAACCTTTTAGGCAAAAGTTATTTTAAAATATCAAATAAATCGATTTTTAAGTTTAATAAAATAATTAAAACATAATTAATCACACGCTAAAGATTTTTTTGTTCTGTATGCTTGTACTTAATCTTTTTTTATCTTCAGTAAACTTATAAACGAAAACAGAAGCCTCTACTTTATATAGGTTCAGAGAGATTCATTCGCCGCCTCGGTCGGTATAGGCTGGCTTTATACAGGGCCGCGGTCGCGCCGTCGCGGCCGCACCAGCCACCACAAGCAGCCGTCCTGGGTCACACCCGACCTGTCCCGGCCGACCCCACCGCTGCGAGCTGCGGCGCGCGCAAGCGGGATTTACAGCCACCCACACCACCAAGGCACCAACGCATCCATCCAAACCGCCGCCCGCCGCCGCCCGGCGTCGTCGTCGTCTCCACGCTCCCTCGCCACCGCGCGCCCTCCCGGCCTAGCCCGCCGGGCCCCGCTGCTACCAGAGAGGGCGATGGCGACGGCGAGCGGCGTCTCCACTCCCCTGCAGCTCCCCTCCACGCGGCGGGTGGGCGGCTGCTGCTCCCGCCCCGGCAGCCCGGTACGCTCCTCCTACTTGCAATGCCCACCACCTGTTCGTTCGAATGCCTGTGTGAGGAGAGGTCGTTTTATCTGTGGCTGTTGATGCGCAGGCCCCGGGCAAGAACGCGTTCCCGCGGAGAGCAGCCGGTGGTGCCCCGGCAGGTATGGCCCTGTTTCGGTAGCAGTTTTGTGCTGGTGTTCCCTGGTGCTTTTGGGATTTGGGATGTGTTGTTCGTTCTAAGCATAAATATTTCGAGAGGTGCGGACTGGAGCAGAGTAGCCGACTAGTTAATTCAGTCTTACATATGGGCTCTTGGTTGTAAATGGTAATCTTGGGGTGACAGCTAGAAATTCCATGACCTGGTAGCTCCTGAAACGGCATGCCACAATGTGCGGTCCAGTTAGGTGTTCTCTGCCGGGACTGGATGATATATATCATGGAAGCATGGAATGTTAAAGATGTTATATTAAGTTGTATTTTAGAAGAATAATGGAAACGATTACTTATTAGTGTGTTCATTGGTGTATATCGCAATGAAAACTATTGATTAAATTACTGTCGTGCTTATTTGGCAATACCGTTCAGCACTTTAGATGTTACATTATCATGTTTCACCAGGTACATTTTTTTTGAAGAGAGATTCTGTATATAAAGGACAGAGTTGTCATCAATTTTTACCATTGAAACAAAGCGGAAGGTTGCAAGCAGCAGTTCTGCCTGTTACTCCACCTTTGTTAGATGATGAAGAAAAACGGAAGCAAATGTGTGAAGATTATGGATTCAAACAAATTGGAGAACAGTTGCCAGATAATGTTACTCTTAAAGATGTAATGGATAGTCTGCCTAAAGAGGTATATGAGCTACCAACACCAGCTATGCTGCTGTGGCTTCCTATACACAAATTCCTCTAATGTAAAATTTCTTGTCTGCTAGGTATTTGAAATCGATGATCTAAAATCTTGGACTTCTGTTTTAATATCAGTTACTTCTTATGCTCTTGGTATTTTCTTGATATCAAAAGCTCCCTGGTATCTTCTTCCCTTAGCCTGGGCATGGACTGGTACAGCAGTTACGGGGGTAAGAACCCTCCCCTCCCTTTGTAAGCTTATATAAGTTTGTGTTCCTTTCATGTGCTACATGCTTGCTTGCTGTTTTGTCTATTGTCCACTATTTAATTGATGCCTTTGTAAAGTTCTTTGTCATAGGTCATGATTGTGCCCACAAATCATTTTCGAGGAATAAGCTGGTGGAAGATATTGTTGGAACTCTAGCTTTCTTGCCATTGATATACCCCTATGAACCTTGGAGATTTAAGCATGACAGACATCATGCCAAGACAAACATGTATGTACATACCACCCTATATTATCATCTCCAATATTCTCCAAATCTCAGACAACGCTCTTTCCAGTGCGGTCATGCATTACATTGTAAGAACACTCATGCACTTCATCATGCTTAAATACATATGGGATATGGCATACCAAAACAGTTTTTTACTTGCCGCTTTTTTAATTATAGTTCACATGTCAAGTGTTGAAACAATTGTACAAATAAAACAAACATAACAACATGATCAACATTTTTTTGAGTTATCTGTAAGTCTGTGTTCATATGTATTAAAAGCCATTTGATAATATGAAAAGACTTAAAAACAGTTCCAACCAGGTTGAACTTTGGTCATTCAAATCTTTACCTCCTGCATAACCTCCAGGTTGATAGAAGATACTGCATGGCAACCCGTTTTTTCAAAGGAGTTCAGAACAAATTCCTTACTGAGGAAAGCAATGATATTTGCTTATGGTCCTATCAGGCCATGGATGTCTATTGCTCACTGGTATTTCTTTTTCGAACACCTTTTCATATAACATGGACATCTTCTTTAGGAATTATTTTCCTTCAACTTCTCCAAGCAATATCATTGCTGTTCACTACGATTGCTTGTCAGGTTAATTTGGCACTTTGATCTAAAAAAATTCAGACCAAATGAGCTCCCAAGGGTGAAAATAAGCTTAGCATCTGTGCTAGCGTTCATGGCAATTGGATGGCCACTGATTATTCTCAAATCAGGAATAGCTGGATGGTTCAAGTTCTGGTTCATGCCATGGATGGTTTATCACTTTTGGGTAATATTTCTTATTCTGTCAACATCATTTACTGCTAAGCTTTATATGGTCCAAATTCATGGAAATGTTTAGCTATTAGAGCATATTGGTGCTATATATTGCAAGTAGAAAGTAGAAACTCATGTTAATTGGATAATTAGTCCTTGAATATAATATAGCTCTGACCCATGGAGCCAACCAGATGACAGGCTACTGACCTTTTGTGACACTTATATGCCACTTCTGTGTTGCCCTGTTACCATTTTTTTTCTTAGTTCAAGAGTTTATATATTTTAAGCTTTTGTATTCCCGAAGATATTTGGATTGCTTCAGATCACTACTCTGTGTGCATTATCAACTCCTGGCAATGGATCTGACTCAGTTTTAGTTTTTATTACAGTATTTGGTTACATTACAAGGTAACATTTCGGAGAATAGTGTATCATTGTATTTTTTTTTTGTAGCAGTACGTAAGCAGTCGAGCTACATATTTTCAGATCTTATTATGTTCCTTTCCACTGTTCACAAACTAGCAACAGATATGATTTCATTCTCCACCAATTTACTAGTACATGCTGGTTTACCATTTTTTCTCATGAACCCATGATTTTGGGTCAGAAGCATCCATTCGTCAGTACTAACATGGAATAAACTCGCTTTAAATCACTGTTTAAACTAGCCACAATTTGATATACTTGTTCTGCCAATTTGACAGAGCAAGGGAGCACTTACCTAAACATATAATAATTTTGTTCAAAGTTGTTCGCTTTGCATTGTTGATTAACTTGTATAATGCAAATATTTTTATTTATCCTGTAAGCTGTTCTCTTCAGATGAGCACCTTTACGATGGTACATCACACTGCTCCTCATATACCATTCAAGACATCAGAAGAGTGGAATGCTGCACAGGCACAATTAAACGGCACAGTTCACTGTGACTATCCTCGGTGGTACGCATTTTGTTTTCTTTTACATCTTTCTTTTCTTACATATTATAATATTTTCTATCAAGTTGCTAAGTAATGTTAACCATCTTTAAACAAGCTAGTTTCCATATTAATTTTTGTCACACATGGGACCTATCGGTTATATCAATAAAATAGGTTATTAATCAAAAGATAGATGCTATTACTTTTCAGTTGTTTTAATAGTGCAGATTGATTGGATATTAGCACAGGAAAGCTCTCATGGACTAAAAAGTACTACATAAAATCTCAGAAAAGAGAGATCTACACCCTGATTTGGGTGGGGTCCTAATTATAATGGTATAGATTGATTGGATATTAGAACACTTTTGTATTGAAACTGCATGAAAAACAAAATTATATACTATGTAGAATTATAGCAAATAAAACTTTCACTGGACTATAATCCCAGTAAAAAATTGGGCTAGTTAATATCACATGACAAATCATTGATTTTGCCAATAAAATGACAGCGACAATTCATTTATTGTTTATTTGTATCTTTGAGGATTAAGAAACTTTTCCATCATGTGGTTGTACTGTTTTCCTGGATTGCACATAAGTTTCATATCTTGTAGAATGTGCCACAGGTGCATATAAACCATGTTTTTTTTAATTTAATAGCTCAATTGAGTCTAGTTCTACTCCCATTTAGCACTAGCATAGGATAAATATATTTCAGTAAAGTGCATGTGGTAAATATGGGATATGATGTGAATATTTTGTCATGAAGTGTTCATACGGGTATAAGTGTCAACATTTGTACAACTGGAGCAAGCTGAATCACTGTCTTGGTTTTGTCAAAATTATCTTGGAAACATGCTTCTGTAGAGTTGGATTGTATCTGACTAATGGATTTTTACAGGATAGAGATACTTTGTCATGACATAAATGTACATGTTCCACACCATATTTCTCCAAGAATTCCAAGTTATAACCTTCGTGCTGCCTATGATTCCATAAAACAGAACTGGGGCAAGGTACTTCAATATTTCTCCCATTTTTTTGGGGTGCATTTCACTGGTTTTTTTTTTTGTATAGTTATTTCATTTCTCTTCCCTTGATACCTTCTACTTGCAGTACATCAATGAAGCCAGCTGGAACTGGCGCTTGATGAAGACAATACTGACTAAATGCCATGTTTACGACAAGGATAGATACTATGTTCCCTTTGATGAGGTTGCGCCTGAGGAATCCCAACCAATTAAATTCCTCAAGAAGGTCATGCCAGATTATGCATGATGAAATCAATACTGTTGGCTGGTGTTTGCATAGAGAAACAATCACAATTACTTAGTGAGTCACATCCTAAATTCTAACTAGAACGGCACATGCCCGAAATTTTGACTGCAAATTGCTTTGTTGGATTGTGTTACACGGCTTCAGAGCGGTTGCCAAAAGTTCATTTAGAAGAAAGGCTGTCAGAAGTTATCCTATAAATTTAAAAATAGTGCGCTTCCAAACCAAGCGCCTTTTTCAGTTGTTCGGTACATCAAATATGTATTGTATACCTTGGAGGCTTGGAATATAAATATGGGCACGCTAGTGCTACAGCCATTTGCTACTGATGTACCAGCAACCATTGGTTTGTACCTTGATTAATTCATGACGATGGTCTAATTCTGTTGTCCTCTTTTTGCAAATTCTGCTGAACTAACCATGGTAATTACAATTCAGCATGCACAGTCCTACCTCTACGGCTCTACCACTTATGGTGGGTTACACGATACTTCACCGTGCTTTGTTTATCGTTTATTCTCTGAAAAATAATCAGTTGATGCAGCAGCGTTTCATCATCAAGGAGAAGCAAACAGGAAGACTCATACTTCAACATGCATTATTCTTAATTGTAAAAGAGCCAACAACATACAGGGAGAACTGTGGTGCAAATAGCGTACAAAGCTCACGTGGTTACAAAACATTTGAATTCTCTACATTGTACTCATGTGGTTATAGAAATCTGATCATCTATATGGAACACCTCAGCCCATGGTGTAGGATGGAGATGGTAGGTTTATGACAGTGCTCTTCACCTTGGTCATCATGTTTATGCTGTTAGTTATCCCCTGGGATCCAATCCCACTGTCCTTCAAGCCCTGTAGTCCAAACCCCATAGAAATTACAAACAACTGAAGAAAGCAAAAGGTAAATTGAACAAAATGATGGCAAGCCGAGTCAATGGCATGGTAACAATACCTGGAAGGGGAAATGGTCAGGTCCTCGAGCCGGTGCAGAGTTGATCTGAACGGTTCCGGTCTCCATCGCATCGCTGATCATGATCGCTTTGTTGATATCTTTAGTGAATACACATCCCTGAAATGGAAGAATGCATAGATGAATCAGATGCACAATGATATTCATGTTGTAACAAACATCAATGTCCATTTCTATCATGTATGTGAGTGTGCACCTGCAGCCCAAAATTGCTGGCATTGCAATGGTGGATGCCTTCCTCGACCGAGTTGATCCTAATCACAGGCAAGACAGGGCCAAATGGCTCCTCCCAAGCAATCCTCATGTCAGGCCGGACGTGATCCAGTAGCAACGGCCAGATAAGGTTGCCTTCTCTCCTGTACTCCTGACAAAAGGTTGCTCCTTTCTCCTTGGCATCCATGACCAAACCCTCAATAAAATTTGCTGAGGATTCTGTTACAACTGGGGTGATATCAGAGTCAGCCTCAGGTGGCCCAACTGTCAGTTTTGCCAACTTGGCCTTCACCTTCTCTACCACGATATCAGCAACGGATTCCATGATCAGCACCACTTTCACAGCAGTGCACCTCTGGCCACTACGTTGATCATAAGAAATGTCAGTAGAAATCCAGAGTATGATTTGATGCAAATTCAGTTAAGACTTCTGTCCTCGCATAGTTACTAGGGCCAAGCATGGAAAATAATAGAAAAGCAAAAGAAAATGGCACATAAAGATGAAATATGGGTGTATAGAACTATTTAAATAATATAGTATGGTACAAGGATGGAAGCAAGGAAAAGCATATGGCAACATTATCTGATATGCATGATGACACTACTTGGATGCCACACGTCATGTTCTGTTAGCTAAAACTTATCTGAAAGTTTTTATGATTTCCCGTGGCTGATTTCACTTTTTTAAGGAATTGTGGTATCCATATTTTGACATGTCCAAATATCTAATAGATCAAATGAAACAACACGATAAACGTTGTTCTAACCCATAGATCGATCAATCAAATTCATTGTTTAGTACCTGTAAGAGAAGCCTCCTTTTACTATATTTGCTGCCACTAAATCCAGATCTGCATCCTCTAACACAACACAAGCATCTTTTCCTCCAAGTTCCATCTGAAGCGGGACCATTCCAGCCTTCTTTGAAATGGCTATACCAGTATCACCTCCCGTAAAACTACATGGCATAAGTGTTTACTGTTTAGTCTGTGTCTTATTGAATCTGCATATGCCAGAAATAGGAGCGGATGATTATTACCTTATGCAGTTGACTCCAGGATGCATCGTAAGAAAATCACCAATTTCAGAACCTTTCCCGGTGACACAATTGATCAAGCCTTTGGGGAAACCAGCAAGGTGGAAGCAGTGCACCATATGTAGTGCAGCCACCGCTCCCTGGTTGAACAGTAGTACACCATTTAAGTATGTTTTACTTCAAACATAGGCAAGTCTTTTTACATAAAAGAATATATACCTGAGTTGGAGGCTTCAGAACAAGAGCATTGCCAGCAATTAGTGCTGGGCCAATCTTGGAGACTGCTAGGTTGACAGGATAGTTAAATGGTGGGATTGCCAAAACTACTCCAAGAGGTACCTGCATGAATAGGACACTGAATTAGATACCGAAGGAAACAAAATGATGGATCATCAATTTCAGGATATTAAGTAAATTCACTGGAGCATTGATAGTCAAATGTATCAACCATAATATTCATCTTAGGACTCATGAAAATTTTTCTTGAACATACATTCTAGAGCATGCAATAGAGTACATGATACTCAGTTTCAACAATCCGTTATCTTCTAAAGATTAAAAAAAAAGATGATCAGAAAATCACAATCGTTGGAAATTAGTTTCTTGAACAAACCATATCACTGAAAATCCTATTGAAGAAATATAGCAGCATATTCACATCTCAAAACCATCCAGGTATTGATAATTAGTACTAAGGAATAATGACTTTGAAACTATGTTTAATTTAATGCACAGAGTCAGATGGCCAAAGATCTAATCACACTACAATGCTAACAATCTCTGAAAAGGACCCAGGAGCAACAACCATAGCTGAATGTTTTCCTGTCATCTAATACTTTGTTTCTATGAGAAGTATCTAATTTCACGACATCAACGATAAAATGGGCCACGGAAGTTCATTTAGAAAGTACCAGTTACACTTACACACCAAACTCAATGATTAGTTCAAGTTCACCACAGGGCTATTACTATAACTCAACTAAAATAGCAATGAACAAACTAAAGTGGGGATAACTACTGTATACCAATCACAAAGAATCAAAGGTTCACAGAATCACAACCTATATTTTAATTTTTATGCTTCTGCAAATCATTGGAAAATACAAGAATATATTCAGTTGAGAGTTCAGATTTTGAAAACCAGTGGAAACAGGCCTCACAAGTAACCGGCAATCCTAGATTTCCAGTTGAAGACAGTATCAAATACGGAATGGTTTCATTCCAAGCTTGTTTGAGCTGTGGTCGGTCTGGATTACAGCGAATTTTGCCAAAGTTATGGCTAGTCACGTCGACACCTGCCCAATTTTGTTTAACTTTGGCCAAATGAGCACAAGTATCAGAAGCACTTCTTTTATGTTCAATATCCAAAAACTAGACAGATAGAGGAGAAAGATCAGCAAGGGAAAGACACAGACTCAGGGATTTGGTTTTGCTGCAGTCGGTAGTGTGAGTATGTGTCAGCTTCGAGTGGATTTATCCAGGTACTGCAGACTCTACTGTACCATAGTTTACTGTAGTAATGTTACTGTAACTGATAATCTTGACCCTTAAGATGCAGTCCCACTGCATGCCCATCCCGATCAGTGATCCTAGACTCAGGGAGAAGTGCTAATTTCAGAGGTCACCTCATGACGATAAAGAAACCAGAATGACATGGGCTACTAGTACCACTAGCATCCAAGGAATATTCCATAATACCATATTCCATTATACGTGTCAATTAGCTGCATAATTTATATCAACCTCATTTTATCATACAGGTAACACATATTAAAACTTGATTTAGACAGGTGCCTCCAAGGCATCAACTTTTTGTCAATCTGCCAGTCAACAAAGGCCCGTTGATCAATTAACAACAGCCACCAGACACAAACACTGAAATACTACAAGCTTCTTTTTTTTCATCGCTATTTCTAGTCAAAATGAGAGACAGAAACAACATGGCAAACAAACTTAACCGAAAGTCGACTGAATCTAGCAATGCAACACATACCTTGGAGCTCAAACAGTACTTGTTCCGTTCATTGCCCGGGAAGCTATCAGACACCAGCAGCTTGCCTTCCCCCAGTATCCGAACACCCTCCTCAGCTGTGTACGACACCAAATCCCCTGACCTCACCACCTGTCAAAACTCAAAAAACACAACAAGCCATCTTTGTCAGTTAGCTTCGCTTCAGATGAAGAATGGCACTAAAATTCACCAAGTACAAACTGAAATTGCCACTGACTTCAGAGATCGCGTCCTTGGCAGGCTTGGCGATCTCCTTGACGAGGCACTCTGCAATCGGGGTCTTGTGCTCCTTGAGGATGGCGGCCGCCTTGTGCAGGAGCTCCGCGCGCTTCCACAGCGGCGTGCGCGCCCACGCCTTCTGCGCCACCTTCGCCGTCTCCATCACCTTGTTCACCTCCTCCTGGGTGCATGCTGGACACACAAAAGGACCCCCAAATTTTCTCAGCTAATTGTGATATCAGGTTCAAAGTCAACTCGTTTCGCAATTCGTAGCAACACTCGAATTACAGCCGCAAGAATGAAGCCGGCGATGAATCCGAGGCATGTTCTTGCGCCGACAAGATGGGAAATTCACCGGTCACCAAATCAGGGAGCAATTGAGAATCCAAAGGGAAAACCAATTAGGTAAGGGGAGCTATCAGAATTAAAGAAGGCGAGCTCGCACGCAGTTACTCCAGTTAATTAGTGGCGCCGATCAACTTAGCCGTAATTAACTTCGTAAATATCGAAAGGGATGGTCGCCGTCAAATCGTCGATCAATCAATCATATCCAATATCCACCCAGCCGATCAACTATAAGCCGGGAAGGCAATCATCCCACCAGCAGTAGCAGCAGAGTAGTAGCAGCTCAGAGCAGCAAGCATGCAAGCGAAACCCACCTTGCACCCTGTACTGGGTGAGGCGGGTGGTGGGGTTGACGATGGCGACGGACTTGCCGGAGGCCGAGACGCGCCACTCCCCGTCGGCGTAGTACCTGTACACCTCCCCCTCCAGGATCTCCGCGAACACCCCCGTCCCCGCCACCGCCGCCATATCTCCTCCTCTTCTCCGCCGCCGCCGCCGCTGCTGCTAGCTAGTGGCGGTGAGGCACTCGGGCTCGGGGGAGGAGGGAGTGGAGTGGGTGGTGATGGGGGCGCGAGTGGTGGAGAGGGGAGGAGGCGCGGTGGCCG